TATGACCATTTCAGACAGCTTCGACATGCAAAATAGACTGTAAGTATTTATCATGGAATCTGAACTCTTGCTTTGCAGAGTTCATTAGTCCATTTATACAGAAGGGAAAAGAATGCAGACATGGATTGTTGTATTCAGGAAACAATAGGTCAGAAATCCTGGCACAGTCTAAGTAGCTTTCTGAGTAAAGAGAAGTAGAGAGGGAAGATAATATGTCCTCCTAAATGCCTGATATATTATACAATATTTTAAGTGAAATTGTGACAAACATTTTGGCAGAGTAAATACTAAGTATAATTCTTATAGGAAAGAACTTTGCTAGTATTTTCTGTGTAGGCAGTATTTTTTGGCCAAGTGCACTTCCAATGTTTTAGAGTGCTGCATAGAAAACATGGTCACCACTACTCAGTCATCCTGACCCGCTTATATAAACACTAGCTAAAGCTGCTAGAGATTATTTGCAGAACACTGGATATGATGAAGTCAAATATAGGCTAGCTTGGGTAGTATAATATTTGGGATTAGCATAATAATCTCTTTAGGGAAAGTGCAGGATCAGCAGAACCATTGCTTGAGTCTTTGAGGGAAACAGAAACTGTACCATAATAATTCAGCATATATTATGTACTTAAATCTTTCCCTATGAATAGGGCAAGTTTCTGAGCTTTTTAGGGGGCCCAGGATAAGGCCTTGATAATTTAGTTAAATAACTTTGATTTAACTCACATGTGGAGCCCAAATCATCAGTTTGGCAACATGTTTGTGTTGTGTAATGATTTGTGTTACTGTAGTACCATCCTTTGAAGTTACACACATAATTTCCATTAATTTGAGTTACTGGGGAAAAGAGTTCATGGATTAATATAGCAACATTCACATTGAGAGGCAATGAAAATGCTTCTATACAGATTTACAGAGTGTTAGGTGAGCCATCAGAGTTTACTGGTCCTTTGGCACTTTCTGACCTCTATGAGCACAGACTTTCAGGGATCACGTTTTGAGCCATAGCTTCTGGCAAGGCACCTGAGTTCTGTCTTTTGGGATCTGGACAATGGGCTGTACTTTGTATTAGTCATCACTGCCCAGCAGAGGATACAGGCAGTTCTGCTTCTCTTCTGCTGTCATCCTTGCCTGTGAACCATTCAAAAAAATCTGGGAAAGCTCTGAACACTTGTGCTTGTTATGCACTTCAGCCACTCTGTTTTGTCCAAATTAAAGAAAAAACAAGCTTCTAGGTAGCAATTTGCTTACCTTTGTCAGATTCCTAATCTCTTAGTGTTTCACTGAGTGCTGGGCTGACAAAGTGTACCGTATTTTTCTGGAGTCCAGGAAATTGCATAACGAATCTTATAATAACCCAGTGAAAATCCAGGGGTTTTGTTAATTTACAAATTTACAATTTTTTTTACAATAATTTTGTAATTTTTCAATTGTTTTAATTGAAATAATCAGGTCTGCAGAAAATAAAATATCTTGTGATCTAAAATATATCATTATCTCCAACATTACATCACTGCTCTTAAAATTGTTACCTTTTTTAGCTCACAACTGCCTTTGCTTCACAGAGAAACATCCAGCCTTGCAGAGGCTTGAAGTCCTTTGCTCCTATCTAAGTTATGATAAAAAGTTAAGGGTCCAAAAGCGTTTCTTTTAAAAATAATCTATCTCTTGCTCTAATAAAAGACATTAAATCCATCTGAAAATCTCATCTCCTCTGTAACCCTGGATCATCACAAATGTAACAACTTTCTGGTATTCATAAATTGTTAAATTATAGTGCTAGATTCAATGTACTTATTACACTTAGGAAAGGAGAGTAAAAATGGATGAGAGACAAGTGGAAAGATTTTCAAAGTGCTAAGTAGTTTTGCTCTAATTCCTTCTTCAAGTTTGCCACATGGGATTTCTCCCAGTGTAAGTTCTGTTCCTGTGCTGGTGAAAGTTACCGTTGTGTCAACTCCACTATTGTTTGTTCATTCAATTTTTGCCCTCAATATTTAGGCAGTGGCACTTGGTCAATGCATTTTATATTTTTAAGGAGTTCAGAAGAAAGCTGCTTATTTTATAATGGCTGTAAAGAGAGTCAGATATACAGTTCCCTGAACTGTTTCTTGGTTTAGTAGGTGAAGGGAGTAAGAAAAATAACATAAGATCATAGGTGGACAAATAAAACCAGAATGTGCAAAAAGTGTAGTACCCTGTGTCCACTAGTAATACCAAGGTGGTGTATTCAGTCCCCATACAGACCACTCACTTAAGAGTTGAACTTGAGGATTCTTGTGTGTCCCTTTCAACTCAGAATATTCTGCAGTCTGTGACCTGCAAAAGAAACATGGTATGCTCTATGTTCATTACAGTATCTCAAGACCCTTCTGGGAATACAGTGGTTTCTTTTTTATCTGGCCTGTACAATCAAGATTTCTGTTAGGAATCCTGAAATTGTTTGGCTGTTTTATGAAAGAAATGTCGGGGACCGTAGCAAAACACACTTTTCCAAATTTATTTAAATGCCTTCTGTGTCCTAAGGATGTATTTTCTGTGTGAGTTGTCTTAATGAGAAATTATAGCAATTTCCTAGACAAACCTGAATTTACTAATTTATAGAATGGTTATTTTCGAATAAAGGTTTGAATTAACTGAAAGGTTTGAGTTAACGCAAGTCTAAAATATTTTTTACATATTAATTGAAACCCAAAGCTTTAGCATTTACAGGCTTGATCCACAAATACCGCGAATGTAGAGCTTATAATTGAGACTCATGCATGGAATTATTGTTTGGTTACAGTAAAAAGTACTGTGCTAAATGCAATCAGCATCACAGGATCAATTCTTTCTCTGTTCCTATCAAAGTTACAAATGGTATATGCAAGTCACATTAAAATTACCTTGATATTTTTATGGTGGTTTTTTTTCTCTGACTTGTCTGCAGATTTCCTGCAGATTTCTTTCTCTTCTCATTGTAGTTCCTGCCTCTGACATTGACATATGTCAATGAAACATAAAGCAGCACATGGTCCCAGAGCTGAGATCTTCTCCATCCATATGACTCTCTAGCAGAGACCTGTGAGCAGTTACTCAAAGTAGCCTCACAAACAGCAGTGCCTGGAGGTGCATATTTAAGTGGCTTTTTTATCCCAGTGGGCATAAGGCAAAGGAATTTTTGAGAAGAACCAACCTGGAAAAATTTCCAAAGAACTGCAAGTTCTTCTTTGTTAAGGAGTTCCCTCTGTACAGCATGGATTAGGTGCAGTTTTAAAACTGGTTTACTTGCCTGAGCCTAAAATTATGCTAGATCAGAAAGAGTATGTCAGGAAAATAAGCTCACAGTGGAGAGCAAAAGTATCTTCAGCCATCCATATAAGTTCCTCTTGCCTGGATCCCTTGGAATATGCTGTCCCGAGGGAATAGTTAATTGACTTCCCAAAGTAAAGGACCTGCTAGTGTTCCCCCCGTGCAGTTTACCCCTTAAGCCTCTACACTAAATAGCAGGATAAAGGAGTAGGGTATGCAATGCACCTTTCAGTGGGAAGTGTGGTGGTGGCTCACTGGGACACAATGCTGAGTTTTGGTTGTTTAACTACAAGGTGATGGGAGGAAGGAAGTGGTAGGAAGGAAACTTCCAGCTTCTGCTAAAAGAGACAAATTATAATCATAAGTACAAACAGGGCATAATCCAGGATATATGATTATATTTTCACAGTATCCACTGTGCAAGCATACTTAGAGCTTAGCTTACAATATGCAGAAATTTTTAAGCATGGGGTTTTTTTCCAATTTTTTTAATCTTTTCAACAGCCCACAAGTTTGAAATGGGATGCTCTTTTTAGGATTAGCATCTGGACAATAATTTTGTTTCCCTGTCTCAATCCATTTTAGAGTTAAATGTGTCTTGTTAAATCCTACCCTTGTGCTTTGGCTAGCTGTACTAAAAAAGCTTTTCTACTCAAGGATTTGATGGGTGACTTGAGCTGCAGAGAACTGCTGCTGTTCCTGCCCTGGGCATGGAGAAACAGCATCTGCCAGGAGTACTTTGCAAGTGTGCTGCTGCTTCCACATAGGAGGAGAATACAGGGAGGCATGCATCCTACGCAGAAGAAAATGAAAGGGAGAGAAAATAAGTTTAACATTTCTTCTCAGTTCATCTGACTTAAATAAAGGCACAGTTTTTCCTTACGTGTCTAAGTACATGCTCTTAGAGCATCATCAAAGGAAAGACGCAGGATTGAAAGTAATTGAGAGAATCAAAGAGTTGTGTTAGCAAAAAAAAAAATTTGAAAGATAATGAAATGTGTTTTCCTTCTCAGAATCAGATGACCATATGTTTATAAAAGGATCTGAAGCACATCCATATTTAAACATTTTTCAGACTGTACCTGACTGTCCCAGCACATAGCCACTGGCTACCTCAACTCCATCTGTGGGCCTTGCCTGCCAATAACCCAGTGTTAAAGCAAGTAGTTTGAAGAGAGGAAGATTAAGCATGCTTTTACCCTCCTGTCTCTGACAGTGGTATTAGTATCTTCATGTCTTGAACATAATTTGAAGAGAGTGAAAACTTCATCATCTCTACTCTGTTTTCAAAAGGGCATCAAAATACACCCTGTATTTCTACCTCAGAAAATGGAATGTCACAAATATTTGAAGTATGTAGGAAAGGACAACCCAGACTGTTGTTTAGGACCTCTAATGACTGTCATTAGTAATAATAATTATAAAATTAACAAGTAAAAAAAAAATAAAAAAAGGAATATGAGAAAAAACTTACTAGTAGTGAGACATTTTAAAATGTTTTGTGGGATGTGGCAGAAACTACATGATGCGAAGCATTTAAAATTTGCCAAATGAAAGCATTCAGAAAGAGACATACAATACAAATCATTTTTGTATTGTTGGGGTTCAACTGGTTATCTACTCTCTATTTCTAAAGATCTCATTTTGAGAAAAAAAAGAAATTAAGTACAATTATATACCCAAAATATCTGTGTTGTTTTCTCTTTCAGCACAAATTGAAGTGATACCATGCAAAATTTGTGGTGATAAATCCTCTGGAATACACTATGGAGTCATCACATGTGAAGGCTGCAAGGTACGAGATTTTAATACAGCATAGTCATCATCATTTGCATTAGCCTCAAGCACCTCTGTACAATGATACACTCTTACAAGCTTTCAAACAAGTGGTGCCAAAGGCTGTAAAGCCCACTGATGATAAAGATGTATTTCATGGCTAATTTTTCTAGTTGCTTTCCATTTTATCAAATAGTCTTTAGAGCTACCTCCTTGTTTGAAACATGAATTAATTACATCTGGTGCAGAGTAAGTGCTGACACCAACAGAGGCTGGCAACTGTAAGTCACACCTGTTCTACCTTAAATCAGCTTTGAAAGAGGTGGATTTCTTATCTTGCTTCCTACAGAACCCATGTAGCATTACAGTTGGCATGTTACTTCTGGTCAGCCTTTTTTAAGAGCTTACAGGTGTGACTTCGGTCCTTTTTTATCTCTTTTTGCACAATCCGCAGATCAAATTGTAATCTCAAAATGAAAGAATGCCTTACATTATGAGCAGTGTAAAAGGATTCTTTGTCTTCTTCCTTAAAGGCATTAGTGCAGAAAGGAATTGCAGTTGCTGGGAGTTGGAGGTTAAAAAAGGGGCGGAGGGGGGGAAATGCACAGACCTGCTGCTTAGACATATCAACATATTATTCCAGACATTAGTTCAAATAACACAAATCAGACCCAAGCAGAGAGAAGAAAGGCTTCGATTTTCAATTTTAAAAATTGTCTGTGATTTTATTATCTAAGTAATTACATTATTACTCATGACAAACTAAGAGTTTCGTACTACATGTTGGTATTTCAATTTTAATTGTAAATGGGAAATTGCAAAGATTTCGGCATCTCTGATTTCTTGTACGTGGAAACACGCAAGCTAGGATGTTTGCAAATGAGTGCCTATTTGCAGTGTGAAATCACAAGTCTGTACCTAACGCTTTACAAAGTATTAGAACAGCTGAAAAATCTGAAAATTTGGATGCACCCATTTGCAAAAGAAATACTTTCATGCCAGTACATTGAGAACCAGTATACTGATATGTTTGGTAAAGATCAAGGGTTTTTTTCAGGAACGTTGACAATTGTAAGCAGAGCAATTTGCAGCATGTCTTTGTCTTACTGTGGCACTGGACTAGAAATAAGCATCTTCTTATGACAATCACATGAAACAGGATTAAACTAATTGATCTCATAATTCAAAATTGGCACAAAAGCTATGGAAGGAAATTACTTTAAGCAGAAAAAGAGCATCTTCTCTCAGTACTCAGAGCCCACAGACTGTCTAGGGGTATAGTCTTCCGTAGAAGTAATTAGGGCTAATGCTGGCCCTTGCGTGTGCCTCAAGAGGAGATGATACCACTGTGCTGAGTACTCACTGTGTGAGTAGACTGCTCATTGAGATAAAGAGATTCTCTTCCACAGTTTTAACCCTGCTGGGTTTGTGCCAGTTTTGCTGTATCAGATCAATTTGTCTAATCTTGTTTTGTGAGCCTGTGTGAAAAAAAGGTGTGGGTTTTTCATGTCAGTTCCACTGGGAGGCATCCCAGTCTGTCAGAGCTCCCTGTTAAGGTAAGCACTGTTTCTGGCAGCTCTGCTATCCATTTAAGTGCCCAGCATTTACATAGCTATTCACTCTGCCTGCATACTCGTAATTTCTGGCTCTTTTTGTCTCGGTTTGTTGGAAACCTGAAATTATTTAGAATAGAGGCCATGAGTGGAAGAAAGAGGGTGGAATCACCCCACAAGCATGCACACATGTTGAGCCAGGCACCAAGCAGCCACAGCACTTCAGGATACTGCATCCAAGAATTACAGTGCCAGTAGCAGTGCTGCAAACTTCAAGGAACAGAAGATCCTTTAACTCAGTGTTGCTACATTAGCTGTGCTGTGGCAGATCCATATTCTAAGTGCTTAAGGGTCATCTGAAATACTGCTGTTGGTTTGTATGCATGCCTGCCTTATGCTGAACGTGCCTATGCAGTGGACCTGCTGGACCCACTGACTGAGTTTGCAGCTCTGACACTATTCTTACAAAAGGGGTGAAACCTGAAGATGAGTTTGCATCACATCTATCTCTGCGGCTACTTCTTCACTAAGAAGGCTTTTATCATTTCTTGTGCCTTCCCCTAAAGCAAAGTACTTTCCACCACTGTTTTATCATGAATTAAAAAGTAGTTCATTCAGCAATTTCCTTTTTCTGACTGGCTGTGGGTGGCGGGTGAAGTGATCTGTTCAAAGACTTGTCGTCCATGTTGGAAGTACTGGGAAATCCGTCTTTAACTCTTAAGCACCTCAGTTATAAAATACATCTTCCTTCATACAAAATGGAATTATTCCAATATAAAACGATGTAGCCAAATCTGTATAAAGATACCACAAAAATAAAATGAAAGGATTATCTCTATTTTATAAGACAACATTTAGATCTTATGCAGGAGTATGAGAACATAAAATTCTCCTCAGAAAAATTAATTACCCGCTCTAAATTCATTCTCTTATGTAACCCTTGATACATAATATGATCATTTTTTCCTAAGGAGGGCAAAGATGAAACAAATTCCTCTGAGATGAAATCAGCCTTAAAGGGAACAAAAAGTTATGCAGGAGAAAGCACTGTCAATGCTAAATGGTTGAGTGTGGTTTTTTAACATTACTGAATTAATTTTTTCTCTGAAATCCATAGATTCTGCTAAAATCTAAAACTGAAAATAGACAACCCTTCACAAGTCAAAAGCAAGACTGGTTTTATAAAGTTCAGCAAAGACATCTGCAATTAGCATCCATTTAGTCTTAAATTAAAGGCAGCTCTACCATATCAGGAAAGTTTTGGTCAGCTAAGATCAGTTAAGTTTCCACCAGAATTTTTCTGAGAGTTCTCCCAAAGGACATCTATTTTCTGAAAAGTATGAGTCATAAAATTTATTTTATATTTTAGATGCACTGTGTAATCACTGATGGAGCAAACTCAACCCAGTTCAAGTGGGTCTCTATGCTCAACTTCAAGACCTAGCACTGGCAGTGTCTTTGGTGGAACACCATGCCTGTCGCTATTACTGACACCACACCACCCTCATTCAGCTCGTCAGGACCTGAGAGAGAATTCATGTATAAGCTGTAGCAAGTGAGCTGAGGCCTGTAGCACTGTCACCTTGTGGCTTTGTCCATTGCTCGGTATTAACATCCATCAACCTATGCAGAGATACACTATTTTTTTCCTGATAAATGAAGTCAGCTGTTGTTTTGTGGCTTTATTCCAAGGTGTTTTCAAGCCACCCCAGAAAGACACAAGCACTTTGGTGTCACTTCTGGTGACTGGTGTAACTGCAGTAAATGTATTTCTGCTGTTTTACTACTCATAGCCAGTGGCCAGGCTATCCTTCAGCTTTCCCACCACAACATGCACTGCTTTCATTTAAAGTTGCCAGACAGGTTAGGGGAGTTCTCTACATTTTTATCCCCTCTGGACTTGCAGATATTCCTGACCTTTTTATTTATTTAGTTAGTTATTTGATATAGATTATTTATTTTCGTTTCTCTTCACCCTCTGGTTTCATTCCTCTTGTCACCTCAGCTACTTCATGTCACTTCTACCATAACAGTAGAAGCACCTTTCGGTGCTGCTCTTGGCATCACCTCATAGCAGCTGGAAGTTCCTAAGGTCTTAGTGTGTATACTTCTCCGCTAGCCTGCAGATCTCTAGACAAACAGCCCATGGAAAATGCCATTACATTCTCATGGTAGTACCTAAAGGTGTTGCTTTCTCTTTTGTGTACTTGGTACAGTCATTATATCCTAGTGCTTTTGTGAAGACTGAATTTTAATTACTTCTCTCCTGAATCATATGCCTCTCCAGATCAAATCAACATTTGGCAAGTTAAAGTGAACAGTAGACTTCAGCTTCTCATGCTACGTGTACCCAGTAACAATTACCTCTACATTTACAGTTAGTTTCTTCATTAAAGGGAGAAATGTCAAAACAAGTACTTTGAAGTCATCTCTTACAAATGCTGACAAGTTTTTCCTCTATTAGGAGCAAGTATTAGATGATACACAGTGGTTATTGCACTGTAAAAATGAATTCTGTAACATAATTTAGGTTTTAAGAAAGCAGAATTATATTCTTTACAGAATAATACACAATTCTGCTTATTATAATTAAACGTTCTTTAATACAATACCACCATATCTGCAGAGTCACAGCATAAGTAGCAGTGCACTAAACAGGGGTTTGCTGTAGTTGTTTGTATGCTTCTCTGTGTGTGCGTATGTCTCTGCATGCATGCTTGTGCACATAAATACACTCATGGTAATACTTGGTCTTTCCTACTCTCTTGCCCCAAGGGATTCTTTCGGAGGAGTCAGCAGAACAATGCATCCTATTCCTGTCCAAGACAGAGAAACTGTTTAATTGACAGAACCAACAGAAATCGTTGCCAACACTGCCGACTGCAGAAATGTCTTGCCCTGGGAATGTCTCGAGATGGTAAGGAGTCAAATCTGTGCTTCACATCTAAGCCCTTTGAAACTTTTCTTCACTGCTGACTTACTCAAACTCCCTGTAAATTTCTGCAAAAAGAGAGAGGAGAAGCTCTGTGCTTTGTAATGTGTGCACTGTGAGACGATCTTTGCCAGCCGGTTAACAAAGACGGCTATTTTCATGGACAGGGGTGGGGAAAATCACAAAATGGAGAGCAGTATCAGTTTAGAGCAAAAAGAGTCAGAATTGAAATATGTTATTCTAATCAAAAGCACAGAGTGCAAAAAAGTCACCTCTGGAGAAGTGGGTTTATATTAAATATTACATTAAACATGAGCAGTTATCTTAACATTTAATAATGATGTGTGAAAGCATCCATTTCCCTGAGACTGGTGGTAAGGAGGCACAACCCTACACAAATTTACACCTTGATATCATTAGAGGTTTCTGTTTGTTTTATTCGGTACACTTGACCAAATATTTTGCATTGGAAGAAAACCCATTTCTTTTACTTGCACATTGCCTCCTGTCCCTATCTGGGTCTGTAGAAGAATGTTTCCTAATCTAGCACTGAAAGTGTATCCTATGCCAGAAGAAAGCTCCACAGTCTATGCCATCTCAGGATCCTGTGCTCCTTGTAGAGCTCTGGTCCACCTTCCAGTTTGTGGTGTGATCAGCTAATATCAGCAGGCGGAGAACATGCATCACACCAAAGCTGCAGGCAACAGGAGGCTGAGCCAAGGTTGCCCACAGCTGACATGCCCTGGGCACTGCTCCTCGTGCAGGGGGTTTCCAGCTCAAAAACATGTTTTACACGGTGAGAAAGTATTAGAGAAAATTTTTTAAAGCAGTAATTTTTTAAAGCAATTTATATTAATTTCATTTTCCTGGAAGCAATTTTCAATCTTAAAAGGTTGACACAAAATGTGTATTTTTAAATTGAATTATTGATGGAGAAGTTATGTAAAGAGCTATTTATTTAGATGGTCCAAATATAAACTTGTTCAAAATTTGGACCATAATAGGTCTTCTTCTACCTCAGTATGTCTTATGTCTCACTGAAGTTACTCATTTACCAGTCTCACCTGGTAAGAGCCTTTAATCCATTAATTACTTGATACCTTAGCTCCTAATTCTCTATGGTGATTAAAGAAGTAACATTTCAACAATTTAACAGCACAGGTTTTCCTCCTGACAGTAGTATCTCCCAGTGATTTAAGGTAAATCACAGGGGCATTTTAATGTGACTGACAGTGCCGTCTTCCCAACCAGTAATTCAGAGACTACTGCAGAGAGACAAAATGAGTGATTCTTCCACAGCATCACTTTGTTCTCTCATAGTTGATGTAAGGGTATTTATGATTGTTTAGGATTAAGTATATTAAGAGCTCTTGCAAATTTATAATTGGCTGTGTGAATTTTTTGACAGAAAACTTTAATTTGATTTTTACTTCTCAGCCATGTAATAAGTGCATTTTTATCATGCAGAGGCAGGATGCTAATTGACAGCAGCTGGAGAATCCAATTAATGAATATATAATGACGATAAACATTGATTTTACTGCTGAGGGCCTAAATTTGAAGAAAATACACAGTTGCATTATTCAAAATTATTTAAAATACAGTTGTTGTATATTGACCATAAGGGTATGCAGCATACCATGCACTGATTCCAGGGGCAGGCTGACTTCGTGTGAGGTAGCTTGTAGCCTGAGTGTAGGGCTGCAACTAAACTGAGGTTGGCAATAAGAAAAAAACCCTCTTGATGTAAAAAAAAGTGAAAATAAATCAAAACAGCTGTCACCTTGTTGTTCTGGCACTGTATTTTCATATTATGCTCTACTTTTTCTGTTCTTTTTCCTGATTGAAGAATTTCACATTTATCCACGTATAGGTTCAAGCTCTTCTCAAGGGCTAAATGAGAGTCATGTGCTAATAAATATGATTCTGAATTGATCCAAATTTCAGGTGGACTGGAAATACACAATATAGAAAATACACCTCATAATATGTAGAAGTCTGTATTTCTGGAGCTATGTCCCCTTACCTGTTCTGATGAATTCTGCTGAATGTATCTCTCATTTGTTTTGGAGCACAATCAACAACTGTCTCTGCTCTAAGATCCCAAGAGTTACCCCAGTAAAAGACCAGAATTTATAGAGAGATGGGGGTGAAGAGTGATAATCAGCTGTGATCTACTGTATATACAGGCTGTGAATTTACTCCTCCTAGTTCCACAGCAATCAGCCTGTCACCTTTGAAAATTTCAATCTTGCTGTGATGAACCCTGTTTCTGGGAAAAATGGTTTGCCCTCTTATATTTTCCTCTGTTTCTCATCAGAAGGAGTGCATGGATTTGTGCATGAAGACTATTGAAATGCAGATTGCATAAATCCCTAAGACTTTGCTCAGTGGAAAAGATGACATTCATTTGTGCTGTTTACCTTCAAATCTGTTATTTTCCTCTAGGTTCTAGCCTGTAAGATTTTTTTTTTAAAAGTAGGAAGATAACACCCCATTGAAAGGATGGGATAATAAGTCTTTAGGGCTTGTTTTCACACAGAATACTAATCTTTTTAGTGTATTGTGTAATGGTTTGTGGAAAATTAGTAAATGGATATGAATTGAATTCACAGACTGTACATTTCATACAGCTCTGGGTGGTTGTTCAGTGAACACAGAGATATGAAAGGATGCATGGTCTTTTTAACATTCATAGTGGGAAGTGAATTACTTGACTGAGGCCCTCTTGTCAAATAGGAGTTGTTGTCACCTGGTAAATTCAAGTACGCAATATTTTTTCCTTTATGAGATGTATGTGATGTAAAGCTTTTCATCCTTAATCATTTCCTTAGAAAAAGGTGTTTCCACAGCAAAATTAACCCTGAAAGTTAATACCAGAAGAGTGGTGGGGTTGAGGGGAATCAAGAGAAATTTAAAGACGACAATGGTTTGCACTGTGCTTTGCTTTTCAGCTGTGAAATTTGGAAGAATGTCCAAAAAGCAGAGGGATAGTTTGTATGCTGAAGTGCAGAAGCACCAGCAGCGACTGCAGGAGCAGCGGCAGCAGCAGAGTGGTGAGGCAGAAGCTCTCGCCAGGGTTTACAGCAGCAACATCAGCAATGGCTTGAACAATCTGAATAACGAAACTGGCAGCACCTACTCCAACGGGCACGTCATCGACCTGCCGAAGTCTGACGGCTATTACAACGTGGATTCTGCCCAGCCCTCCCCAGACCAGTCTGGGTTAGACATGACTGGAATCAAACAGATAAAGCAGGAACCTATCTATGACCTCACCTCTGTACCAAACTTGTTTACCTATAGCTCTTTCAACAGCGGGCAATTAGCTCCAGGGATATCCATGAGCGAAATCGGTAAGAAAAAACTCTTATTCCTGTAGCGCAATGTGTATATATAAGCTAACCTTCAGTACTGTCTTCATTAGAATGTCACACAGGCATTCCATACACAGGTACACAATAGTTACGTGTTCACACGTGTGTGCACACACACATGGAGAGTGTGGGAGAGAAAATAAGTCTGGAACTAATTGACATAACATTAAGGCAGCTCTGATTTTACTAAAAATTATGCAGTTCTTAAACCCAGCAGTTTATTTCTGTTTATTAAATAGGAGCATCAAAGCAGGTGACGAATCAATCATAACCAAGTGATAATTAGGAAGGGGCTTGTTTCAAATGAGCTCATTACTGGCAGGGTTAAATGATCTCTTCAGCCAACCATCCGTATTCTTGTCAACACCCAGAATCCCCACAGCAGCTAATTCTAGGGTACTTACTGTGAAAAAGTACCAGTTCCTACTTCAACTGCACAGATGTGAGCAAGCTCACTAAATTCATAAGGTGCACAAACTGTGAGTGTATTTCTGTGGATATCCCTGCTTCTCTGCCTGAAGGCCTTGGAGAACCTGTCCCTTGCTTTCATCTTTGACAACTGACAGAGACCTCTCTGTGATGTGAGGCTGTTAGAAACTCAGTGACTAATGGAGAATTTCTGTTCATCTAATTCTTCTAGTTGTATTTTACCAAAGCCACTGGAAGTACTACTTCTATTACAAAGAAATAACATGAACAAAGATTGGCATCCTAATTAGGTATCTGAAGAACTGAAATATGCTGAATCAGTTGTGGCTGAGGACTTAATCAAAGGGTAACACTTTGATAATGGAATTTAATTTTAAAAAAAGAAGGTGGTAAAAAGTGATCTTCAAGAGCACTCTTAACAAATTAATTCATTTCAAATCATGGAAAAAACCCTGTAGTTCTGGCCTAACTTTGCTGTCTCATGTACATGGATGTACACTGAGATCTGTAAATGTGTGCTTTTGCTCAGACGTACTGAGGACTGGAGATGTGGCCTCCCCTCAATATAGATTACAGTAGTGGGATATATAGTAGTTACTGTCTGGTAGAAAAATGAAGTTGCAGCTAAAATTGATAGCATGTTTTCTGCCCTTGTGTGATTATTTGTAGGGAGCTCTATAACACGTTGTGTGCTTTAGCTGCAAATTGTCCAGGAGAAAGTTAAAACTTTTTTGGCACTCTGTTTATTAAGACCTGTACAGTGTAGAACTGGAGATGAACATTTGCTCCCTCAGCTCTCATGGCCATATGTATATTACTCACATGTGGCTTGTGCATACCTCAGTCCTGCAACAGTGGATTACACTGCTGCAAACCAGCTGAGAGGCAATTTGAACAGTCCTTAAGAGCTGTTTCCCTGCCGACCCAGTACCAAAGGGAAGTGTTTCCAGAGAGACCCAGGGGAGGTCCAGACATGCAGGAGTTCTGATAATCCATGAGTTCAGGTTGGTGCTCGTTAGAGAAATGAGTGCAAAGACAGAATATGGCCATAGGCCACTATGTCCTTAGTGGCCTATAGTGGCCACAGAATCCCCCTGAAGTCAATGGGACCTTTTGACTTCAGACAATCAAAGTTTTATCTTTTTAACTTAAATCAAGATAACATTTATCTCTTGCAGGTTCACTTAGACATAATGCAACATTCTTAGTTTTTAATCCATTTTTTTCCCTCCTAGCTCTAAAACAGCCTGCCCTAAATCCACCCCACATTTCCAAGTTTTTCATCCTCTTCTGAAGCACACAAAGCAGGGAAAAACCCAGAGCAGAGGGAGTGCTACAAGCAAATGGCCTGTCTCTGAGCTGACAGCAAAATGCATTTACCTCTTTTCCTTTTGAAATTGAAACTATGGCTCCTAAATTGCTATGATTTTACACAAGTACTGCTGTCTGTCATTTGTGGCACCTACAGCAGAGCAAGACAGTGAGTAAGGGAGACAGTGAGAGATAATGTAGTATAACAAATCAGCTGACAACTGGAAGAGATGCACCATAAAATATTTGGATTAGTGCAGGCAAATGATATTTTCAGTGTTTAAAAAGAAGTAGAAAATGTCTCTTAATGCTGCAGCGGATTGTTGGACCATCTGTAGAGCTGCAGTCTTGCAGTCCTGGGTTATGCTTTTTTCGTATTACAGTGTGCTTAAATTTCACTGCAGGATTGCATCTCACTACAGTGACATTTAGGAATAAACTCAACTTATGCTAAATAGGTTTTACTGCTTTTAACTGTGAGATGAAATCATGAAGAATATATAGGAGGTAGAAAAGCTATGCTGCATTGATCCTTGAGGCTGATAGAAATTTCTTTGTACCACCATGTCTAGTGATCTAGCAAAACACTAAGTATCCCAGATCATGATAGTTCTTTTCTGCACTGATGATTTTCTACCAGGTAGAAATTTCCAGTCCTAGCTTGTTTCTGATCCTTACACTCTTCAAATAAATGTATGTATATAAGCACAACCTCAACTGCCACTTGCCTGATCTTGAGTGCAACCATTGTATTTTTTTTCCTCATGAATGAATGTGTGGGAACTTCTTTCATCCTTGGGTTCCTGGAAATTTATGTAAGCTCTCCAAGGAGCAGACTTCTTCACAAGCACTCAGAACAAAAATAGTCTATGCAGTTTCTGCATTACATGTCAATCAAAATCTAATTCACTGACTCCTTCGGTGTTAATGCTTTGTTTGTTTCAAACTCACTTCTCTCCTGTGTAGGGCATTTTTAAATTAAGATATAGTTGACTGTACTTTTCCAAGTTTGAATCTCATTTTCTCTTTCATATTTTTCTAATTCTTTCAATCCTGTCACATTATGTCTCAGTCTTCATTGATGCTTTGTGACTTCCTTCAGTTCAGAATTGTCTCTTAACTTAATTAGCATGCTATGAAACTCCTCTTTCAGATTATTATGAAAATGTTAAATGCTTGCAAAACAAATCCTAATAATGGTCCCTGCACCTGACTAAAATACTTGCTGCAATTACATATATTACTTTAGTATTTATATTTGGCTTGCTATCCAACACTAAGTTCTCTGAAAAAACCAAGTCTTCCTTTCCCTGTCGGTTTGATTCAGTTATAAAAAATAATATTTTCTAAGATACTCTATGACATAATTTACACATCATTTACATGCTCTTCTTCACATGTTAATTTTCTAGTTCCACCAAAAAGTAATCTAAATGGTTAGAGCTACTTTGATCTTCAACAGTTCTATGCTTTAATTTGAATGTGAAATTGTTCTTTTTCACGAACATGCATTCATCTACAGAACACTTTGTAGTGGAAATGAAAATTGTTCAATTGAACAGTTTTGAAATGCAAAATTTTTTACATAGCAACTGTTTTGACACATAGTATTAGAATGGAATGGCAAGGAAAATATAGCCTATCTTGTATTGCATACTTACTGGTATCTGTCTACTGTGCTAGCAAATAGGTGTAGGAGAAAGACATGCTGACAGATTAAAGATATATAGGGCTCTGTCTCACGTACTTGGTATTATTATATTTCTCAAAATTAGTTAAGTAGGCCTAGATACAACTGCACATTATCTGATCCCTATTAGAAGCAGGATAGGGAATGCCTCCTATGGAAGAGAGGGTTAAGTGTAGCAAAAAGCATTTTCAGATACAGTCACAAATTTCTCATGTAACTGTCAGAGCTTATGATATAGACAAGTTGTACAAAATCAGGTAGTTCCCCATTAGGCACAGCCCTCATCAATATTCCACTTCTGTTACAAAAATCCCTCAAAGCACAAAGACATCACTCCAAACCTCGTAAATACACATACAGGAGCAGAACCTCAACTTGCCATCAAGTGCATTTCCAGTTCAGATCCCTTTTCTTTAAAGGGCTGTATTTTTGTCGTTAACTCAAAGCATCTTGTTGGACACTTGATACAGATTTGGGTGGGCAAAACACAAAATAGGTGAGGTGACCATCTGGCAGTGACCAGGTGAGTTAGCCAGGCTCTGTCACTGCCTGCCCTTCTGTTCATGGGTGGCATGATCCAGGTCTGTTCTATCAGCCACTGATGCTGCCAGTGTGGGAGACACCCACATCCCAAGGACTCATGCTGCCAGGGACTTGGCAGCATCATCCTCTTTCTCCATGACCACTGTGCCATCTACACATCTGGGGAGGCAGAAATGATGCAGTGGGAGCTCAAACCATAGGGTGAAATCTGCTTGCCACGTCAAAAGCTAGAATTTGGTCATTTGCAGAATGGCTTTCTCCTCACACAGCAAATCACAGAGGTCAGCTGGTGGATGGAAAATTCTGAAGTGAGAAGGGAGCTCCAGTTCCTGATGGCAGTGCTTGCTCCCAAGTGTGGTTTTAAATTAGGAAGCATTAAAGGCTTATTTTCAGACTTGGTGAAAGCTTATTTTCAGACTTGGTGAAATTAAAAGACTATCTTGTTTAAATATATGTGCATAATATTATTTGCCACTGAGCTGAATATTGTGTTTTCCTCCCTAAATATGTGCCTCCAATCTTGGTCTGTAAAAGTTAATGGAAAAGTTTCCCTGCTTTAACTGCAGTTGAGATTGCCAGCCTATGATTTCTTAAGGACAAGATGATATTATTAGCCAACTGTTATGGAGAAAACAGATTGGTTAAGCATTCTGTAAGCCAAACTAAAGGGTGCCCTGTAGCTGTGTATATGTAAGTAGTCAGTAAGACACCTCTAGGGTGTACAGGAGATCACATAGCCCAGCCTTTATAATTATAGATGAAAGTGTTGTTTACATATATTTACATGACGTTTCTTCAACATCAGGCCTGTTTGTACCCAATGGCTTGGAGAGCTTACATTTCTACCAAAATTAAAGTAAGGCTGGTGGGCTTTGGTTTAACCTTTCCTTTCCCCAATCCTTCTAAGTCTGCCCTGCTATGTGTATCTTAGGGTGGGCAATAACTCCCTAAGACACATGCCTAATGTGGTTTGGAGGAGGCATCATCTGCCTTATAATGTAAGGCA